AGGTCTCCAGGTGCTCGAGCGACTCCTCGTAGGCGTTCTTGAGCTTGAAGAGCTCGGTGCTGAGGGAGCGGGCCTCCTTCTGCGACGCCTCCAGCTCCGTCTGCGACTCCTCAAACTTCTGCTTCCACTCCGCCAGGATCTGTGGGGAGACCACAGATCTCGAGCCCTTGCCTGTGGAGAACCCTCTCTTCCTTCTCCTCACCCCCACGGTCTCCCGGTGGGGGCTTCTAGCTGAGGTCAGGATATACCTCTGCTGAAACGTGGCCCCAGATATTGGACCATCTTCTAGATTTCTTCTGCGGCTGTTCTCCTACCTGTCTTCAGTGGGCGCGAATCGCTCCCCCTTTCTCTCCACCCCTTTCCCCACCGTTTTCCCACCTCCCACCTTGTCGAAGTTCCTCTGCTTCTTGTCCAGCGCGGCAGCCGCTGCGTTCGACCGCTCCAGGTCCACCATCAGGTCCTCGATCTCGTTCTGCAGCCGGTGCTTGGTCTTCTCCAGCGAGGAGCACTTGGCGTTCACCGCCTCCACCGCCTCCTCGGCCTCCTGCAGCCGCTGCGCCAGCTTCTTCCTGCCGGCCAGAGAGGGAGGAAGCCACGTGAGAACCTGCCCGTCGCTTGGACCTTTCCCCACCCTGCTAGTTTGGTTGCTCCCAAAGCGAGGGCGGTCAGAAGCAAGACAGCAGTAAAGCTCTCATCAGCGTTATGGACGTTCTAGGTCGCTCTACCCAGCAAGCGTTCTGGATCCCCAACAAGGGCTCTAAATCTACCCGGCACGAAGAAGCCCAATGCCCTGGTTGTGCTTGCTGGAGAGGAGCAGGAAGGTGGGGAAAGACAAGACCAGGGAGGCCCCAAGAGCTGGGGGAGAACCTCAGGGTATGGTGGAGGGGGGTGAATCCAAGGGGAGATGTCTCACTTGGCCTCCTCCAGCTCCTCGGTGCGCTGGATGGCATCCGTCTCGTACTTGGTCCTCCACTGGGCCACCTCGGAGTTGGCCTTGGACAGGGTGCGCTGGAGCTCGGCCTTGGCCTCCATCTCCTCCTCGTACTGCTCCCGCAGCAGGTCGCAGTCGTGCCGGGCCGACTGGAGGGCGTGGGCCAGCGCGTTCTTCGCCTGGGGGGTGAGGAGAAGGCAGGGCCGGGGGGGGAGCCCATGTCAACCTTGACCTGTCCTGGTGGGCAGGTTCACATGGTGCTCCTCAAGCCCAACCCAGCCCCACCGACCTCCTCCCACCCCGTACCTTGGCCTCCTCCTCTAGCTGCCTCTTGAGGTCCTCCAGCTGCTGGGTGTAGGTGAGCTTCCCTCGCGTCAGCTGGCTGATGAACGCTTCCTTCTCCTCCAGCTGCCTGGAGAGCTCGCCTACCAGGGGAACGGGGACGGTCACCTGCTGGAGAGACCCCCAGGCCCGACCCACGGGGCACGGCGGGGGAAAGGGGCCTCCCGGGACACAGCCAAGCGCTCACCGTTCTCGGTCTGGAGCTTGGCTCGCTGGGTCGTGAGATCGTTGACCGTCCGCTGAGCCTCCTCGGACTTAGTCCTGTACTCGTTCATCTGGTCTTCCATGGTGCGGCACATCTTCTCGAGGTTGGCCTGGAAGGAGAGAAGGAGAGAGGAGGAGTAAAGGAGCAGAAAGGCAAGACACGCCATGCAGACAGAAGAAAAGGATCATCGCCGTTAGCCCCACCCGGAACCTTCCAGGACCCGCCCCCAACCTTGGCCTTAACGAGCTGCTCCATGTTGGAGCTGACGTCGTCCAGCTCCAGCTTGAGCTCGCTCTTCTCCTTCTCCAGCTTCTGCTTGACGCGCTGCAGGTTGTCGATCTGCTCGCCGAGCTCGGCCACGCTGTCGGCGTGCTTCTTGCGCAGCGTGGCGGCCGTGTGCTCGTGCTGCAGCGTGGCCTCCTCCAGGTCGCGCCGCATCTTCTGGAACTCGGCCTCCCGCTTCTTGTTGAGCTCGATCTGCACCGAGGTGGCGCCGCCCGCCTCCTCCAGCCGCTCGCTGATCTCCTCCAGCTCCCGCGACAGCTCCGAGCGCAGCTTCTCCACCTTGGCCCGCCCCGTGCGCTCCGCCTCCAGCTCTTCCTCCAGCTCCTCGATCCGCGCCTGTGGCCCGGGCACGGAGACACCGTCGTCAGGCTTGACTCAACCCAACTCAACCAGTTAGGGATTCCCCAACTCGTTACAGGTTCCCCATCTCAACTCAACCCAACCCACTGGAGACCTTCAACTGGGCTTTGCCCGGCTTGAGCCAGCTCAGCTCTCCTCAACCCGGTCAACCCTTGAGCTCTCCACATCTAACACCTCAAACCCAACTTTCTCTGGGGCCAGTTGACTCAACCTAGGCCATCGAACCACCTGGAGACTCCTCAAAGCGACTCATCCCGTCTTGAAGATGCTAACCTCAAACAGCCCTGGAGATCTCCGGATCAACCAATGAGGATCAACCTTCTCTGATAACGCTCGAGTCAGCCCCAACCACCCCAGCTCTGCCACCTGCCACATCATCGGCTGCCCTTGAGGGAATCCAGTCCAACCAACCCCACCAGCCTTGCGTGCTCCGGACCAATCGGTCCAACCCAACCGCTGCGGGTCTTCAGCTCATCCCAGCCATCCTCGAGGGCTCCGGAGCCACCAGCGTGGCCCATCCCGAGGCCCGACTCGAGGAGAGCGTTTTCCCACCCGGCCTCACCTGAAGCTCTTTGAGCTTCTTCTGGAGCTGGGCGGCGATCGCCTGCTCGTCCTCGATCCTGGCGTTCAGGGCGTTGAGCTCGAAGTCTTTCCTGGGGGAAGAGACGCCGGCCCTTGACGCTCGCGGGCTCACGGGGCGAGGGAGGAGGCACCCGCCGGGGTTCCCGCCTCCCTACTTTTTCAGCCTCTCGTCCAACTGCTGCTTGTCGTTCTCCAGGTCCATGATGCTCTCCTGCGCCAGCTTCAAGTCGCCTTCCAGCTTCCGCTTGGCCCGTTCCAGGTCCATCCGGATCTTCTTCTCCTGCTCCAGCGAGCTCTCCAGCTGCCAGTGAGGCAGAGACCCTCCCATCAGCCCCAAAATGGGCACCTCTGCTCCGCCCCCCCCCATCCCTGGGCAGGAACCCGCTTCCCAAATCCACCAGGGAACAGGGAGACAGGGACTCACGTCATCCACTTGCTGCTCCAGCTTCACTTTGGCCTTGGTCAAGGTGTTGACCTTGTCTTCTTCTGCCTGCAGGTCGTCCAGCGCTTGCTGGTGGGACTCTTGCAGGGCCTTCTTCTCCTTCGTCAGCTTGGCGATGATCTCGTCCAGCCCGGCCATCTCCTCTGTGAGGTTCTTGACCTGCGTGGGGAGAAACGTCCGGGGTGGGAGGCCACCAGCTTGGTGCCCAAGGCAGGGCAGAGAGGGAGGCTTGTTCTTGTTCTTGGCCAAGCCAACGAGGCCCCTAGACCCCAAGCAGCTTTAGGCCTCCTCAACCCTCGGCTTGGAGTCGAGGTCTTTCCCCTGCCCTCACCTTGTTCTCCGTGGCGTGTTTCTCCTTCTCCACCTTGGCCAAAGACAACTCCAGGTCGTCAATGTCCTTCTTGAGTTCCGAGCACTCGTCCTCCAGCTTCCTCTTCTTGGCCGTGAGCTCGGCGTTCATCTCCTCCTCGTCCTCCAGGCGCTCCGTGAGCTCCTTCACCTTGGCCTCCAGCTGGATCTTGTTCTTGATCAGCTGGTCGCAGCGCTCCTCGGCATCAGCCAGGTTGTCTTGCTCCTGGGAAGGATAAGGTGGGCGTGAGGATGAAGGGAGGAGGAGTCAGGGAGACACCGGGGGCTGGGGACAGCAGCGGCGGCAGCACGCACAGCCTGCACTTGCAGCTGGAGATCGTTCTTCTCCTGCAGCATGGAGACCATCTTCTCCTCCAGCTCCTTCCGCCGCGTCTCCGACTTCTCCAGGGCTTCCTTCAGCCGCCCGAACTCCTCCTTCATGGTCTGCGTGGGTCAAGAAGAACCCCTAAGTCCGTGTGGGTGCCTGTCCACCATGTCAGCCCACAAAGACCCCTCCCACAATGTCCCTCTGCTTGCTTCTGCGTTCATTTTCTGCTTGCTTAGTCATCCTTCCTTCCAACAAGCCATCTCTTTCTCCATCTATGCCTCCATCCCTCCTTCCGTTCCCCCTCACCTGCATCTCCTTCTCCGTCTCGGCGCTCTTCAGCAGGGGCTTGATCTTGAAGTAGAGCTTCATCCAGGGCCAGTTCTTCACCCCCATGAAGGCCCGGATGTTCCACTGGATCACCAGCAGCGAGTCCCTGGATGGGGGACAACGGGGCACAGGTGACACCCCTGGCAAGGACCCCCATCCTTGCCCTGACCTCCACCCGCTACCCACCGGCGCTCCAGGATCTTCTTGAACTCCTGCCGGGAGAGGAAGCCGCGGACCTGGGCTTGCAAGCGGGTCATGATGCGGGCCAGGCGCTCGTCCCGCATCTCCTCCAGCAGCCCCAGCAGCCCCGCTTTGAAGAAGACCTTCGAAGGGAGAGGGGTGGACGGAGGCATGGGTTGATGGGCCGAAGCGTGGCTGATAGGACTACAAGGCTGAGAGAGCCCCCCACCCAGGTCCCACCTCCTTGACCTGCACGAGCTCCTCTCTCTCTGTTGACCCTTCCACAGGTTGGGCCTTCCTGGCTCTGCTGGCCCCTCCCACCACCTCCATGGCCCCGCCCCCCCACCCCTCACCTTGGTGTGCCCACCCTTGTACTGGTTG